ACTACATATATTGTCACATATAACAAAAAAAACAAACAAAAAAAAACACAGCAAATATAAGGTAAATATTTACAGAGAGCATTGGTAAAGAAAAGGGGGTTTAGCCTTTGTCCCTCATAATATGGCAGGAGGATACATACTGCGCTGCCAGGTGGATACACTTTTCATTCTCTCCCAAAATATAACAGAGTTTGTCTATGTGGCTCGCCTGCTGGAATTCAGGCACAATTTGAGCTATTTGTGTAAAATAAGTGTCTCTGATGTGTTTATATTTGCTGCAGTGTGTGAGGAAGTGCAGCTCGTCCTCTACGAGTCCCTCTGTGCAGTGAGAACACAGTCGGAGCTCTCTCTCTCTCCAGCTCTGTTTGTGTCGGCCCGTCTCCACACTCAGATTGTGCTCACTCAGACGATACTTCGTCAGAAGCTTTCTCTGACTATAGTCTTTCATTTTGATCAAGTAAGGTGCCAATTGATAACCAGTCTTTAATCTGTAGAAGTACTTTAGTTTGTTCATTTGTGCTACTTTGATCTGCCAATCATGGATGTATTCTTCCTGGGTTATTTTTCCAATTTCTTTAATTTTTGCGTGTCTTAACTGAATTGTTGAACTGAGTTGATGTTTTTCCACTAAATAGTGCATGGGGTCACTCTCTGGGTGTCCTGCCCTGTAAGTAAGAGCGCAGTGATGGTAATCATCTGTCAGTGTGTCTGATAGATGGAACCAGAACTTGGCTGTTCTCTTCTGGATTTCTGCTAGAAGGGGGAATCTGCCCAATTCTGCCCTGCAGCCGAGACTAGGGGCGTTTCTGTGGAGTCCCAGGATGTTCTTGCAGAACTCCAGGTGGAACATTTCAGTGGGGTTTTTATCCCAAGATGTATAGTTTAATTTAAATTTGGGGCCCCAGATTTCACAACCGTATAGAAGAATGGGTTTGATGATGCTGTCAAAGATTTTTAGCCATAATTTAATAGGTGGGTTGAATTTGAACAAAGATTTTCTTATAGTGTAATAAGCCCTGCGTGCCTTATCGGTCAGATGTTTTATTGCCAGATCAAATTGACCAGAAGCTGAGATAGTGAGACCCAAATAATTATAACATGTGACATGATTAAGAAGTGTTCCCCCGATTGTAAAACTATGTTTTTTGTCAGTAAGGCGAGGCTTTTTCTGGAAGATCATAATTTTGGTTTTCTCCATGTTTATTGGTAAGGCCCAGTCTCTACTGTAATTCTCTATAATTGAGAGGCTTTGGTGTAGCCCTTCTTCATGAGGTGACAAGAGCAGAAGATCGTCAGCATACAGGAGGCATTTGATTTCTCTGCCCTCGAGGGTCAGACCAGGACAAGAGGACTTATCAAGTGCTGATGCCAGTTCATTAATATAGATATTAAACAGAGTCGGGCTGAGGCTGTAGCCTTGAGGCACTCCTTTGCTCTGACTGAAATAATCAGTTCATCTGTTATTGATCTTGACGTCTTTGCTCTGACTGAAATAATCAGTCCGTCTGTCGTTGATCTTCACACAGCACTTGTTCCCGTTGTATATGTCCTTTATGATGTCATATGTCTTTCCTCCTATTCCGCTTTGAATTAGTTTTAGGAAAAGTCCATTGTGCCATACCGAATCAAAGGCTTTTTTAAAATCAATGAAGCAGCCAAAAATTTTCCTTGTTT